CCCATTTAACTGCACTGTCAATTATAACGATAATAGTGCGGAAAAGTTCTTTTCTTCTGACACTTTAACTTCTTCTTTTTTTTCTTCTTCTACATCAGAAAAAATTGTTGATATATCACATCAATATGAAAAACCTGGTATTTACAATTTAACAGTACTTTGTGTCAGTCGGCTTTATACCAACATCTATTTTGCTGAAGTAATTTCTGAAAACTATGTAACTAGACCTTCACTCAACATTAGAGCTCTATGTTTAAATGGATTTAAACTTATTGAGAAACCTCCTATATTTGATATTGCATCAAACATGATACTTCCTTTTGGATGCAACATTTCGATATGTACAATGGATCAATATGGAACAAATGTCACAGTGAATATTAGCATTTCAGTTGATGGGGTCTATGCTGAAAGTCAATTGAATCAGGCTAACTGTGTAGTGTTTCCTGTCCATTCTGATAAAGAGAAATCTTTATTAATTTTTGATGTATTTTCAAAAAATTCTGTCAGTCAGAATTATATTCAATATAATGCAAGTATTTTGCAAAAAGTGTTGGGTTTTAATGTAACTCTAACAAACACACCAAGCATTAGTGTTCCAGCAAAAATTGAAATTGTTTACTTGAATACACCTGGAGATGCTTGTGTCTCTGTTAATTTTGGAGACAATTCACCTACAATTTCTAGTCAGCCAAATTTATTAGTATTTGGAGATTATTTTTGTCAAAATTTAGATGAATATTTGGGTTTTGTTTACAAACCAGGTAAACCAATTGGTGGAGAATCTCTTATTTTGAGTCGTCAATTTAATATAGGAGGCTTATATCAAGTAATAGTTACAATTAAAAATGTTTTATCTAATTATACTGTAGTGTTACCTGTAAAGGTAGTAGATTTTCCTTGTTTTCCTGCTAATATCAGCTTTTTGAGCTCTGTTGGCTCTAATTTTAAAGAAGCAGAAGAGGCTGCACAGTTTCCGAAGTGTGAAAATATCACATTTAAGTTCAAAGCATTGCCCAATTGTAAAAGACCTAATGTAACTATGAAAAAATTGGTAACAATATCAAAAGTTGACAATATTTCAATGTCTGTTTCAAAACCGTTGTTGGAAACAGATGGTAAACTATTATATTATATATTTCTTTTATATATTTATAAGATATTATTTTGTATAAAAAATTTTTTTTTTGTTACTACTAAAATATATTTATTTAAGAACTAAAGTCTCTAATTCTCTGACCTTCAATTGCTTTATAAGCAATTTGAAGTGTGTATATATATATATATATATATATATATATATATATATATATATATATATATATATATATATATATATATATATACATTTATATACATATATATACATATATATAAATGTATATATATATATACTTATATATATATATATATATATATATATATATATATATATATATATATATATATATATATATATATATATATATATATATATATATATATAAATGTGTATATATATATGTATATATATATGTATATATATATATATGTATATATATAAATGTATATATATATATATATATATATATATATATATATATATATATATATATATATATATATATATATATATATATATATATATATATATATATATATATATATATATGTATATATATATCTGATACAAAGGAAAAACTTCATTTAGTTAAAGCCCATTCAACAAAATAAGATAAACAAACACTACTCTAATGTAATTTTACATAGGAAATACAAATATCATATCAAAAAAACAATATTATTAAATGTTGACTTGATAATTGCAATATTGTAAAGGTTCAAAAAGTATCCAACACATAAAAAAAATTCACTCAATACTTTGTCATGTGACTTTTAGCAACCAAAACTGCTTCTAAACAGTTGGAATACTTGTTCACAAGATTATTACATATGCTGATAGGAATTTTAGCCCACTCTTTCTTGTATATTTCTTTCAATTGAATAAGATTTCTTGGATCTCTCTCCTGTACCCTCAATTTCAATTCCTGCCATAGATTTTCGAATTGGATTAAAGTCTGGTTATTGGCTTGGCCATTCCATTAAGTCAATTTTCCTCTTCTTTAACAAGCACGAGTTGCCCGAGCTGTGTGCTAAGGGTCATTGTTTTGTTGGAATATCCAACCTTGAGGAAGCTTCAAATTTTCAACTGACTTCATGAGACATCTCTCAAGAATGCCCTGATACATTTTGGAAGTCATCCTTCCTTCCATGATTTCCAATTCCCCAGGGCCTACAGAAGAGAAACAACCCGAAAGCATTATGCTGCCACCTCCAAGCTTTACTGTTGGGGCGGTATTCTTCGGGTCAAATGCAGAGTTCTTCTGTCTCCAAACACAACTGACACTGTTCCAACCAAACAACTCTAATTTAGTCTCATCTGAGCATAATATTTTATCCCAAAATCTTGAAGGTTTACTCAAGTGTTCTTTAGCAAAGTTCAGGCGGTTTTTTACATGAATTTTCTTCAATAGGGGAGTTTTTCTGAGTGAGCAAGATTGAAATTTTCTCTTTTGAAGAACTGTCTTAATTGCATTCTTGCATACTTTGTCCCAGATGATTGTAAATCTTTTTGCAGTTCAAGGCAAGTCAGTCAATGATTTTTCAGTATTTTTGAACTAAATTCCAAGCCATATAGTCAGAAATTTTTGTAGGACATCCTGAACGAGGCAGACTAGTCATAAGATGAAAGGATTTCTACCTTTGAACCGTATCACCAACTGTCAAAATTTGGATATTTAACACAGTTAAAATTTTTCTATATCCTGAACCATCTTTATGCAGCTGAATACTTGATTTTCTAGTTGTTTCAGAAAATTCTTCAGTTTTAGGCATTGTTGAAGAGCACAAATTTTAGGCCACCTTCTAGTCACAATGTTTCATAGTGAATGACTGCAGTTAGAAAGATTTCTATGACATAATTTTGCATTCTAGAATGTTCCTTCGTTTTTTCTGATTCTAGAATATTTCCTCGCCCACAACGGATGACAAATTATTGGTTAATTAAATTCTTTATTTACGATGTATTGGATACTTTTTGAACCTTAAATGTTACAATATTGCAATTATCAAGTCAATATTTAATAATATTGTTTTTTTGATATGATATTTGAATTTCCTATGAAAAATTACATTTGAATAGTGTTTGTTTATGTTATTTTGTTGAATGGGTTTTAATTAAATAAAGTTTTTCCTTTGTGTTGGATACTTTTTGCACCCACTGTATATATATATATTTTTTTTTAATTTTTTTTTAATTTAAATTCACCTCCTCAAGGCCGAGAAGGCCACTACAGACGAGGAGGCTACTTATTTGTGGCTATAACCCTCTCTCAACTCTATAACTCCGAAACACGAACCTTGACGAACAAGGCCGCTGCGCGGAGAAACGAGTTGAGCGCGGTACTACCAGGGACGTGGTGGGGATCGAACTCGGAACCACTCGTTTATGAAGTGAGCGCTCTACCATATATATATATATATATATATATATATTGTAACTAACATATCTAATGAAGCTATGATAGATGGATTTTATCCTATTTATTATTAAGATGTTTGTAGGTAGACATATCAGGTCAGATGTATGGTTATAATGATCACCCTGCTAATGGTAACATGTAATCCAGTGCAACCTGTTCTATGTCCTTTTGCCATGTAGGCTTTGTTTTCTAAACAAAGGCTGGAAGAAGTGTACTTGTGGTCACCAATAATTGAATATCTGTCATGCCTTTGTATATATATAAATAAAGATTTTTTGTCATTTTAGTTGGGGGTATTTCTTATATAGTTGGAAGTGTCTTTCTTATATAGTTGGAGGTGTCTTTTTTTTTTTTTTTTTTTTTATTTGCATTCACTCCCAACAAGGCTGCAAGCAACCACTATTAAGTTGGGAGTTACTAGGAAAAAAAAAGAACAGAGTTATAGAGCAAGGAAACGGTTGACAGAAGACTTAAAAAGTTGAAGGTTGTATGAGTCAGGAAAACATGAAGATGGGAGATAGTTCCAAAGGATTGAAGTGCGGGGAAAAAAACTAGATAAATAAAAGGTTTTAGAGCATGCAGGGACAGCTGAATGACGAGTAAAACAAGAATGAATTTTAGTTGATGGAACTAGAGATGATAACTCCTTTGAGCAATGACCATGATAGTATTTGTAGAAAAGAGAAAAAGATGCAACTTTACGACGATGGGAAAGAGGTTCAAGCTTAGTCCAGGTCCAACAACATTTACAATGAGTTTTTGGACCTTGTCAAGAAGAGTCTATGTTCTGTCTGAACCTGTAGCAAAAGGTTCATTCACCTGTAAGTTACTTAATGTATATTTGTGTCTGTCTGAACCTATGGCACGATATTTGCTCACCTGTAAGTCTCTCATGAAGTGTGAGCTCAGTTACCAACTAGTGACTCCAACTATAAAACTTAATACTCACCTTAATTCCTAAACTCACATAAACACTTTAGACAAGTTTACCTGACAACCCTAATCATTTACCTTCACTCCTTGATTTGTGTCTTGTCTCTGACCCTAGCTTGTGTTTATTTTTTCCTTTTTCTCCCTTAAGTGGTTCCAACCACGCTCTCTATAAATCTTTTATCTTGTAAATCTTGTAAAGTTCTTCAGACATTCATTGCACTACTTATTACTACTCTAAAGCTGGGATTGTGATTTTCTTTGTGTTGATCCTTGGCCTGGTGTTTTTTCTCTCTCAGCTGATAAATGCACCTCCTATGCAACCTCCTGGATTCAGGCAGGAATGGAAGTTTTTATTACATCTTTTTGGTTCTCCATTCTACTTCATGGTTTTCACCTTTTTGTGCAGCAGCAATATTTAATTGTAATCATTTTTTTATTTTTTTTTCAAAAGAATAACTTTCGGATATTTAGGGTAGGTCTAAAATTTCATCTCTCATTCATTCATGAATGAGAGATGGAATGTTAGACCTACCCTTGTTAATGATATTGTTCAAGATTTTCCAAAAGTCTTTTGGGGAAGTCCCATGAATGGGACTTTCCCATTGATAAGGCAGAAGAACTTTTCTTTTAATTCAACTCTCAAATCTTATGGCCATTCTTTTCTTTCCATTCCAATTAAACAGGTTAACCCATTGTTAGATATTCAAGTTATTCCAGCTTCCATTGCTAAAATTATATCTCTGTTTATCTTTTCTAGGGCTTGTGGTCTAGACAACATTTATGTCATTGTTTTACAAAATTGTTCTCCAGATCTCTCTTCAATTCTCTCTAAACAATTTAATAAGTGCTTGTACTTTTTTCCTGTCTGCTAGAAAATGACGTCTGTGATTCCAATTTGTAGAAACTCTAGGGAATATTCTGAACCCTCGAATTATTGTCAGATCAGTCTTCTTTCTGTTATTAGCAAGGTGTTTGAGTCTTTGATAAACAAATTTCTCACATCCCATCTTGAATCAAATAATATACAGTCAGACAATCAATACAGTTTTTGATCCTCTCTCAATACGGCTGACTTGCTAATTGCAGTAACCAAAAGATTTTATTGTGCATTAGATGGAGGCGGAGAGGCTAGGGCTAATGCTCTTGGCATAACTAAAGCTTTCCACAAGATTTGGCATGCTGGTCTTCTCCATAAGCTTGCTTCATATGGTGTATCTGGAAAAGTTTTTGAGATAATCAAATTGTTTCTTTCAAACCATTTTAATAGTCACCCTCAAAGACCAACATTTCTTCTTCATTTCCATTAACTTCTGGGGTACCTCAAGGTTCTTTCCTTGATCCTATTTTGTTTCTTATCCACATTAATGATCTTCCTAACAACCTTCCATCTAAAGTATTTGCTGATTGCTTAACTTTATACTCCTGTCTTGATAAAAAAATCTTCTCGTTTTGATTGCTTAGAAAGGCGGCTGATCTTGAGTCTTATCTCATTTCTGTAACAAATTAGAGCTTGCAGTGGCTTGTGAGTTTTAACTCCAACAAAACTCAATTATTTACTGCAAACAACCATCGTAATACTGTCGACATCCCTATATTAATGAACTGCAACCATTTCATTGTGTCCTCTTCTTTATGTCTTCTTGAATTATCGTTCACTATTGACATTTCATGGAAATCAAATATACAATCATTTGCTAAATTAGCATCTGCTAAGGTTGCTTCTCTTTATTGTGCTTGCCATTTTCTCTCTCCTGATTCCATTCTCTACTTCTACAAATTTCTTTTTGTCCCTGTATGGAATACTGTTGTCATATTTCGACTGGTTTTTCTAGTGATTTTCCTTCTCTTCTAGACAAGGTTCAGAAATCCACTGTAAACATAGTTGGACCCAGTCTGCCAAGTTTGAGCCTCTCTCCCATTGTTGTAATGTTGCATCTTTTTCTCTTTTCTACAAATACTATTATGATTGCTGTTCAAAGGAGTTTTTTTATTTTTTTTCTTTATTTCATTTAACTAAAACTTATTTGTGCGTGATTTGTCATTCAGCAAAGTCTCATTCTTTTAATGTACCTGTCCCTGCATGCTCTAAAAACTTTTATTTATCTAGCTTTTTTCCCAGCACTTCAACACTTTAAACTCTCCCCCATATTTATGTTTTTCTGACTCATTCAACTTTTCAAGTTTTTAAGTTCTCTATCAACTGTTTCCTTGCCTATAACTATATTCTTTTTTTTCTAATAACTCCTGTTTTATTAGCAGCTGGTTGCTTGTTGGGAATCAATCAAAATTTAAAAAAATCGCCGCCTTGTTTGGAGTGAATCAAAATAAAAAAAATTAAAAAAAACCTTTTTCTCTCCTTGTTCTAAAAATCTATATATTCCTTGCACATCAATGCTTTGAATCTCTTTATGTTTTCGTGACTCATACAACATTTCAAGACTTCTGTAAACCATTTCTTTGCACTTTTACACTTTTACACTTTTCTTTGTTTTTTAGTAACTCACATTATAATAGTGGTTTCTTGCAGGATTGTTACTGCACCAGACAGTTAATGTTGTAATTGTAACAATTTATTCTCCAGTGTTGTAGTAGTTTGATCTACACTGGCCATCAATATTGACTCAGTTTTCATAATTACATTTCTCACATGAAGTTCTCTTTATCAATCCCCATAAATTTTTGAACTTGAACTTGTTTTCATGTTCTTCTGGGCAACTTTGATGACTTAGGAATACTAGTAATTGCATTTGATTCACTGTCAGAATTATTTGATTCAGTTTCTTCTTGCTTTACATCACCATAGTTTGTTCCCATATAGCTCGTCTTTTCAAGATGAATTTTTTTATTGACTCCTTTTTACATATTTCTTCCATTGCTTTTTTTTTCAACATTTTTTCCTGTTTTTGTTACTAGATTTGCTTACTGAAATTATTGCTTTGTTTTTGTATTGTCTTTCTCTGCAATTTTTCCACATTAGCTTGAACAACCGCTGCAATGCTTGAAGAATTATCTTTTTTGCAATACAATTGTTTATTTGTTTTGTACTTGACAGAATTTTATTTCAATTTTTTCTATTTGTTATTCAGTTTTTCAGTGTTTTTCATCCTTTCTTATTGTTTTTCTTATTGTCTTATACCAATTAAGTTTTTTTATGTATTGACAGTTCTATCAATTGTTACATTACTTTTTGTTGGCACTCTTCAAGCCTCTTTCAGTGTTCTTTCAGTTCTAATTTGCTTTCAGTGTTCTTTTAGTTCTAATTTGCTTTCAGTGTTCTTTTAGTTCTAATTTGCTTTCAGTGTTCTTTTAGTTCTAATTTGCTTGACACCAACTTGTACAATTGCAAATGCAACAAGTTCTATTGCACTGGGTCCCCTGTTTTTAAGAGGCCCCAAATATTATAAACCGAAAAAAGTAAAGGTTATTATTTAAAATCAATCTAATAGAATACGATTATTTTGTTAAAGATAATTAAAAACAAAAATTCTAAATAATTCTGTTGTTTTATTGCTTCAAAATGTTAGTTTTTAATTTTCAAACTGTATAGTTAACATTTATTAACTCAGTTTTTGTTAATTACACTTACATGTAACATTTAAGTACCTCACATGTCTAAAAGATGTTATGAAAGTGGAAAAAAAAAAACTAAACAGATCTGGAAAGTGGCAGACTTTCCAGATCTGTTTAGTTTTTTTCTTTTTCATTCATACCCTCTCCACCCTCTCCTCAAAAATGAAGAAATCAGCTTGTATAATCCAACTCAACAAAAAATTTCTGCACTTGCTGGCATTTGTTTTAAAATGAAAAAAGTATGTTGAATGATAAAAGAATAATTAAATTTAAGTGAATTTTCTGATTGTGCACATACAAGAAGTACATCTGACATACAGTAGTTATCTGGACATTTATTTTGAAAAAACATCTTGAATCAGCGTATAAATGTTGAACTCTAGAATTTTGCACCCAACACTGAACAGAAATAGATTGTCTTAATGAAGATAATGGCTATGCTGTTCTCACTTGATGATTTCAAAAACAATTTCAAACAGGTTATGAAAGAAGCACAAGTACCATCTGTAGAAATAAATGGAGTAGCCCAGTTCACTGAATGGAATAGCACTGTTCACTGAATTGAATAGCACTGTTCACTGAATTGAATAGCACAGTTCACTGAATGGAATAGCACAGATCACTGAAATGTCTTCTTGTGATTCTTGTGAAACAAAGACTGTCTTGATTAATCACCAGAATCTAGTTTACTCTTCCCAAAACCAAGACAACACAATTTCAAGAGATTGGCAGACTATTGTTATCATCACATATATCAATATCAGATGTTGTGATATTGATAAATGGGTAAAGATAAATGTGAATTTCTGATATTGATGATGAGTGTATTCATCTAACTCAAACTGCTAAAGATAAATTTAAACAATCTTATTTTTATAAATTAATTAATATAACTATAAAAAGTTTCATTGCAAGGCGATTTGTATAACTCTTTAAATCAGGTTTTTGGGATTTTTTATTTTTTTATAATAAATAGCTAAAAACTATGAATGCAAACATCCAGAGGATGATCTTGAAGAGGTGTAATTTAAAAATCAACTTTTTATTTTGAGATATATTGTAGAAGATAGTTGTACTATTATAGAGAATTTCGAATTCATTTCAGAAAGGAATTTGGAAGAATTGTATTATATATTAAATAATATTAGCAATTGTGCAAAATGATGATTCACAATGAGCAACAATGATGGATATTACCATTAATTAATATTAATAATCATTTTCAAAACTAAAATTAGTTAAAAGTTATCTCCAGTCGACAATATCAAAGAACAGACTTTTAGGGTTAGCAATACTGTTGATAGCTTAATGTTTTATTTAAACAATTATAAAATGCAACTAATATTTAATAAAAGCTTTTTATGATGCTAGTTGCAGCTCTTTTTAAATTAATTTACTGTTCTATCACTTACTCTATAGCTGCTACTATGTATACTGTTTTTACAAATCATTTTTGCATTCATTATGTATAGTTTTTAAAGAAGTTTTAACAGTTTTTAACGGCTTTTTGCAAATGTTCTTTTAGTAATTCTATTGTGTCGCTTGGTAACTCTTTTACACAAATGAGTAAAATAAAGTTTTTTTTATAAAGTTCTTTATTTTTCTTTAGATTTTTTTTCCAAGTAAGGACTACTAGAATCATCTATTATTTTATATATATGCTTAGCAAACATCATATTTTTGATACTCGAATTAAATATTGATAATACACATTAGGTCTTGTTTATCTTTCTGTGATGTCCATTTCAATTTTTGTGATGTCCATTTTCAACCATATTTTATTGTTGATAAACAACCAGTTGCAATGCAATCCTTTTTAAAACTGGCTAACTGTAGTTGGTTAACTGAACATGTGGCTGATTTTGATTGAGATATATCAGAATATTAAAGCAAAGTTAATCTTTTTCATGGTGTAGTTCCTGTTCTGTTTTTTCCTTCTATCCTTCTAGTTATAGTTAAATTATAAAAAGCATGAAATAAAACAGCAAATAGAAGAACAAATAACTACTTTATGGGTAAAATTCAGTTTATAATAGTTTATAATGTTTGTTGAAACCTATTAAAAAAAAAGGAAGCTAGAACTAATAGCAATACCTTGAAATAACAAAACAATCTTATTGGTTTAATAGACTTAAAACAGCTGCAAATAAAACAGAAAGTTTTTGCATAATAATCACAAGTTTCATCTTACAAGGCTAAAAAAAGATAAAAACAGATAAAAACTAAGGAAAATCACTTGATAATATTAAAGTTATTTTTACAAATTTATTTAATTTAAAATTAACTATCAAAAGTACAAAATCGCCTGACAAAACTTTTTTTTTATTTAACACTATGTTTCATCAATAAAGACTCATCAGAAAAGATTTTAAATGAAAAAAACATTTTTGTTATATATATATATATATATATATATATATATATATATATATATATATATATATATATATATATATATATATATATATATATATATTTGTTATATAAATATTATATATATTTACTTGTTATATAAATATTATATATATTTATTTGTTATATAATTATTATATATATTTATTTGTTATATAAATATTATATATATTTATATGTTATTTCACCTCCCTAAGGCCAAGAAGGCCACTACAGATAAGGAGGCTACTTATTTGTGGTTATAACCCTCTCTCAACTTCAAAACAAGATCCTTGACAAACAAGACCGCTGCGCGAAGAAACAAGGTAAGCGCAGTACTACCAGGAACATGGTGGGGATCGAACTCAGAACCTTTCGCTTATGAAGCGAGTGCTCTACCACTACACCATTACCGCATATATTTATATATTTTATATATATATATATATATATATATATATATATATATATATATATATATATATATATATATATATATATATATATATATGTGTATATATTTGTAGAATCACTTTATACAATATATGGCAATCTTGGCTATGGATGGTATCAAATTGATTATGAAGTTAAAATGGTAGACACAAATGATGGACATACTATTCCAGATACTCTAACTTCTATTCACGGTTTTTTCTCAATCATACCATGCTCATTGCGAATCAAAATTAAAGAAGGAAATGGATTCACAGCAAAAAGAGGAGGTAAATATTATTTTATTTTTAATGTGTATGTTAAATGTTTTTTTGTTTATTTTAATGTTTATATTTTTTAGAATATTTATATTTTTTATATAATTGATATAAATTTGTATAATTTCGTTTATATATATATATATATATATATATATATATATATATATATATATATATATATATATATATATATATATATATATATATATATATATATATATATATATATATATATATATATATATTTATATAAATATATGTATATATACATGTATATATATATACGCCTAGAGCGATTTACGTACACCTTAAGCGATTTTTACGTACGCGTAGAGCTTTTTTGGATAAGCTACTTTTTATAATTTTTTAACTTTTAAATTAGCGGTAACATAAAAGAAGTAATTTTTAAAAAAACCACATTAATTTTTAAATAACGATATGTAAAGATATTAAAAAAAAGAATTTACTTTAAAAATAATTGTTGTAACTTTTCATCGCGATATATCTTTCCTTTTTATAGCAATTAATTTGAAGCTAAACCTTTTATCCAAATATTTAGCAATATGAAAAATTGTTTGTCAATCCTTAACTACAAATTTTTTTCAATGTTTTTAATAAAAAGTAGTAATTTTTTAAAGTTTTCAATAAAAATTTTAAAAAAATCTATATTCCATATTTATTAATACAGAATATAAATGATTTTTGTAATATAGATTTTTTAAGAATTTTTTACTGAATTTATAATAAAAAAACATTTGCAATTAAGAATTGACATTTTTTTAATATCTCAAAAAATGTCTTAATATTTTTATCATGATAACAAAAATATCAAGACATTTTTTCGAGATATTAAAAAAAATGTCTTTGCTTTTCTTATTAGTTAAAGGTATATAGATACCTTTACCTTTAAGTTATGCGGGGGGAGGGGGTCGGCACAGAAAAAAAAAATTACCTGTTACTCGCAATATTTGAATGAAGACAATTTGTTAAATTTCTTCTGCGTGCGATTCAATAAGTTTTTTTTTCATAAATCAAGTTATATTATAAGGTAAAGAAATCATGAGTAGACTACAACATCCGCTGATGACACTAATATTACGTTGAATAAATTTATATAACGAAGGTTTCATTATGCATGCGCACATTACATGTTCCGTTAAATAAATACTAAGGCACGTTTTAGTTTAATGACAGTCTCCATTTTTTTTACTAATGAATTTTTCTTTATAAAACAAAACAAACTAGTATATAAAAACCTTGTATATTTCTATTATCTCTAAATTGTTTAATGTTCGAATATGGATTGTATTTTGAAGGACAAAAGATTTACTTTAAAAACTTTTAAATCTTGGGACTTTGCCAATGCTTTGCCGATGCAATGACCACAGAAAAAGAGAAGACTTACGTTATTAAAATCAAATGTAAGTTATGTGATCTTTATCAAAATAAAATATTATCCAAAAACAATGGTGCCGTAAGGGCAACTGCCCAACGGTTTATAAATAACACAAGTCATGTTAAAATATTTTAACATGTTACTATATTTTAATTAAGTTGATATATAATTAAAAATAAAAATATAGTTCAATAAATAAATTAAATTTGTTCTTAACAAAGATTACCTCATATTTATTCTTTTTTTATTTTATTAAGTTAAATTGCTTACAAACGAAAAAAAAAAGAGTTTTGTAATTATATGTAGAATGAAAATACGTTTGAGTTTGTTTATAAGTTAAGGAACTTAATTTTTAATAAACAAATTTATTATAAACAGATACGATTCAAATTATTAAATATACTTAAATTATTTCAGTTGAGTATTTTTTTAAGTTTGCACGATTAAAAATTTTGCGTAGAAGTATTTGTTTTTTTGTTTTAAAAATAATTAACAAAAGAGTTTGCATAATTAAAACTTTTATATTTAATTTAATTTTTTTTTTTAATTTCCTAAAATTAAAAAAAAAAGGTTTAATCGTTAAAAACAATTTTTCTCTATAGCTCTGTTTCTTTGTGATTTGTTTAAAAAGTAAAATATTTTTACAATAACATAAAAAATTTATGAATTAAATTCCTGGCGAACGTGTTCTAAACTATGTATCAAAAATATGCTCAAAGCAGACAAAACATTTTTATATTTTTATAAAATGCAAGTTGAAACGCTAAACAAGATAAGTTTAAAAAGAATTTAAAAACCTAAATTTTTCTTTGCTTGTCAAAACAAAATTGTTGTTTAAATAATTAACATGGGTTTGTGTTTATCAGTGTTTATATTTTTTGTTTACTCTAGAAATTTTTAAAAATAAAAAAAATCATTATTATTTTTTATTCAATAACGATTAAAAACAATTATTCAAAAACAAATTTCAGAAATAATTAAAATATATATATATATATATATATATATATATATATATATATATATATATATATATATATATATATATATTTTACTAAATAATATTGAACTAAAATTAATAATAAAATAACAATTGAAAACATTACAAAATTTTCGTAATAAATTTACATTTAAAACGTTTATAGTTATTTGAGTTAATTTTTAAATTGAACTAGTTTGCGGTTATTTATTTATTGCGGTAGTTGAAACACTTAATGTCTATAAAAAAAAAAAAAGATAATTTTATGACGTCAAAATCGCGTTAAGCTAATGCATTAAGCACTTTTTTATTTAAAACAAGGCCTGATATATATATATATATATATATATATATATATATATATATATATATATATATATATATATATATATATATATATATATATATATATATATATATGTATATATATATATATATATATATATATATATATATATATATATATATATATATATATATATATATATATATATATATATATATGTATATATATATATATATATATATATATATATATATATATATATATGTATATTTATGTATATATATGTATATATTGCACCATTTTAATCTATCACATTTTTCTTTGTTCTATATCTCTCTATGTCATCTCAAGACCGCACTCTTTTTGATGTTATTTCTGATCAAATTGACCGAGTCCTCTCTTTTTATCCATCAGTCTTCATCGTTGTTGGTGACATTAATGCTCATCACACTGAATGGTTTGGCTCTAATGTCAGTGACTTTGCAGGCATTAAGGCCCAAAACTTCTGTCTTTTTTAATCTCAAACTCAAATAGTCAACTTTCCAACTTACTTTCTAGACAACCCAAATCATTTACCTTCTCTACTTGACTAGTGTCTTGTTTCTGATCCTAGTCAGTGCTCAGTTTTTTCACCTTTAGGTGCTTCTGATCATAGTTTGATCACTCAAAAACTATTATCTCATTTAACAACTACCTAAAAGCTGACTAGAACTCTTTCCATAACTTTCTTTGTGATGGCCCTTGGGTAGAAATCTTTCATCTTCCTACTGACTAATGTGCTTCTTACATAACTTCTTGGATCCAGACTGGCAAGAAATCTTCTATTCCCTCTCAACAATTCCAAGTCAACCTTCACTTTTCTCCATGGTTTTCCTTGCATTGTGCTGCTGCAACTTCCAATCGAAACTATTACTTCCATATCGATTAATCAATCAGCAAAACAATTCTTGAGAAAACAGATTTCTTTTTACTATTGCTAAAAACCATTGTAAAAAGGGTTTGTCTAACACCAAGAAGTTATGTAAGAAGCACATTTGTCAGCAGGAAGATGATCATGGTAAGAGTACTTTTAGGTAGTTACATGAGGTACAATAAAAGGGGTTATTCTGATGATGAAGAAGAATGAGATAATACTTTTTGAGAGATCAAACTATGATTAAATGCACCTAATGGTGACTGTGAAGAAACTGAGCACTGACTAGGATCAGAAACAAGACACTAGTCAAGTATAGAAAATAAATGATTCAGGTTTGGTTTGAAAACCAGACATTTGCCCATTTTACAGCAAAAAATTAATTGCTATCTCAACTTGTTACCTGTCTTATGGAATTAGTATGCAAGCAAGTAGTAGATAAATTACCCTGAAGTTCCATCGATATCTATCAATGTTTAATCAAGTTCCGTCAATTGCCTAATATTTGGTAAACTTTTAAAATCGACATGAGGAAATTTTTTTTTCATTTCAAAAGTATTTCACTACGTTAATCAGATGCTTTAAAACTGCATGTCTTCTCTCCATTTCTGTTTATTTTCCTTCAATTGTATACCATTATTGTCAAAGTTCATTGTTAAATAGTCATATTTACTATGTATTGCTTCAACAAAATAATATGACAGTTCAGGTAAATTGGTATTACGTCCTAAAAATTCATCTGGGCATAACATATGGTGTTGACAACCAACTTAGAGAGGTTTCTGAAAGCCAACAGTTTCAGTTGTGTCATTAATTTCTTTATCACATCACTTTTTTTCCTATTGTTAAAATTTGTAGTGTCTGTTACAATCATTTTTATTGATCCCCATAAATCATATTTATTCAAAAATCCTCGATGTCCTTCAAAAATTTTCTTTGACTTTCCATTCTTCAATATTATTGGCTTAAGCCTAACCTCTTTTTTATTGTTCTTTATCACAACTACTTGATGTTCCACCCTAGCTATTTTTTTCCCATCAAAATGCAAACACCAATTCTCAACCTTCAGTTCTTTTCTCAACTTTTCTTGTAACTTTTTACATTCTCTGATGATTGCCATATAAATTGCTGGTTGAGTTGGTTCAGGAAGATCGATACCAGCCAACTGAAGTTGTTGAAACACTATGGTAGCTTTTCGTGTACTTAGCTATGCTTGACAAACCAATTTAACAGCCTTGACTGTCCTGAGTTTAATTTTTTGTTTATAATTATTTTTTGAAGGTTCACAATTACTGCCATTGTCACTTACTGACTCATTACTAATTTTGTGTTCCCCTCTGAATTTATTCAGAATTGAAGTTGAAGGCATTGATGGAACATTTTCAATTTCAATTTTCCTTGTAGAATGTGATTTTTTAGGCTCATTAGGCTTCATTGTAGTATACCCACTCTATCAGATGCCTTATTGCATTTATATATAAAGATTTTTATCTTCAGAATGCAATCAAAGTCCATCCTCTTTCTTTATATCTAATAAACTATAAGTACCTGGTTTTTTTGATTTCTATTTGCCTCTTTGTAATCAATTTTAGTATTATTCTTGGCACCAATCTTTTTTCTATTGTTGGAAAATTCAAATTAGTCCATTGTTCTAAACATTTATCTGAAATTTTCTTTATTTGTCCTTTCACATTTTTACAGTTATGCCAAGCTGGTGAATTGGTTATTTGCCAATTTGTTGGCCTTTTACATTTTGTTCCTAATATCTTTTGAGATTTACTCTTATGTAACCTTCACTTTTCTAAAAGTAAATCAATTTTTTTTTCCATGTCTCTTGATATTTTGGTTGTAAAAGAATTTTTGTTGGGCATATTGAAAAGTTGAGTAATAACTGAACTTGTTATGCCTGATTCAATTTATTATTTGATTAGATTAAATTATGCAACGCTAAATTTCACTAATAAACAAAACAAAAAAATTTTCCGTTGCAGTGCATTATGTTAAACAAAAATCAAAATAGTACATAAAGTTTAATAAAAATTGCCGCGCATAAGAACCTTAAAACCTTCTACTTCTGCTTTTAAAATAAATTTATAATTGTGTAATTTATGTACAATCTCTTAGAAACCCTAACTCATTTGGTGCGTAAGTTTTTAAAAGGATGTACCTTATTAGTTATTGTCATTATTTTTTTAATATAAAAGCTCATAATTAGGTGACATGCTCATTTGAAAACCTTAAAATTATTTTTTATTTTATACCCCTAATAAATATATATTTATATTTATATATAAAAGTTTATAAAAAGTTAAAATTTTTATTTTGTTTTAAGGTCTTGTATATATAAATGCTCTCAACAGTTCTGACCCAGATAATTCCAAAGCTATTTTAAATCCAAAATGGTTTTGCTCACCATGTAATAGTGTAAATGAAAGTATTATTTTTAACACAGTTAAAAATTTAATGTATCCTATACCAAAAGTTGCTTTTGACGATCCAAACTTTGTTGGGTGTTTTGGAAAAGAACCTTTTGTTGGAAAACTTTCAGACAAAGGTTTTTATTTTTACTTTTTAATTTATTATATGAAATTTCATAATTGTAAGTTGAAATTATCATTATTATCATTATTATCAGGTCATAATAGTCTGGTTTTGCAACTGGATACAAGTTTTATGAAAGCAGGGTGTTATGATATATGGTTATTATTGTCAGTTAATGGTGATACTAAACAACGAACAAAGACAGATCATGTTCAATTGACTTTAACGGATACTGAACCACTTGTACCCCAAATTAGGTATATATAATTTTTGATTTATTTTCATAATAGTTATAATTTTTTTGTTACAATAGTTTTGTTATTTAAAAGAACAACAATAATATATATAATAACAATAATATATATAATAACAATAGCATAATTTATTGTAACAACAATATATTTTATAATAAATGAGAATGATAATAGAAAAACACATACAAAAAAAGTAATAAAACTAGATTAAGGAGTTATAAATTAAAAACAGTTCTTTAGAAATATTTTTTAAGTTTTTATTTTAACTTGTGCATGTATACATATTGTATTATAAATTTATTAAAACAAATGTTTTAATATATTTGTTAAAAACTTCCAAATTGGTATAAGGCTACCGATAAGTTATTTATTTTTTTATCCTTTGAAAATTTATGTTTTAAAATTTTCTTCTATTTTCATGTTTTTCTTTTATGAACAATTAACAGATTTTTTAGTCTTCATCTTGCTCTTTCATGTAATAGTTTTTCTTTATCATGTAATAGTTTTTCTTTATCATGTAATAGTTTTTCTTTATTATGTAATAGTTTTTTTTTATCATGTAATAGTTTTTCTTTATCATGTAATAGTTTTTCTTTATTATGTAATAGTTTTTCTTTATCATGTAATAGTTTTTCTTTATCATGTAATAGTTTTTCTTTATCATGTAATAGTTTTTCTTTATCATGTAATAGTTTTTCTTTATTATGTAATAGTTTTTCTTTATTATCAAATAGTTTTTCTTTATTATGTAATAGTTTTTCTTTATCATGTAATAGCTTTTCTTTATTAAGTAATAGTTTTTCTTTATCATGTAATAGTTTTTCTTTGTTATGCAATAGTTTTTTCTTTATCATGTAATAGTTTTTCTTTATCATGTAATAGATTTTTTTTTTTAAACATCTTCGCTTCCAACAAGGCTGCAAGCAATCACTAATTAGTGTTGGAAGTTACTAGAAGAGAAAAGATGACTTAAAAAATTTCAAATTATATGAACAGGAAAGACGTCTTAAAAGATTGCAAATTATATGAATCAGGAAAGCAAGATGAAGAAGGCGAATTCCAAAGAACTGATGTAGCGAATTCCAAAGAAATGATGAAAAAAACTAGACAAATAAAAGTTTTTGGAACACTTAGGAACAGTCACAGAAAAAAGGATGACACTTAATTGAATGACGAGTAACTCGAGAGTGAATTTTAGTAGATGGCGCAAGAGACGCTAGCTCTTTAGAGCAGTGCCCATTATAGTATTTGTAGAAAAGAGAAAGAAAAGCAACATAACGGCGATGTGATAATGATTGAAGGTTGGCTGCAAGAGCAGGTCCAACTATGTTTACAATGCGTTTTTGCACCTTGTCTAAAAGTGAAAGAGCATCATTAGAAGATCTGCTCCAGATATGGCAACAGTATTCCATACAAGATCAGATTTGAGGTTTATAGAGATAAAGAACAGAATTCAAAGTAAGAAAGTGTCAATCTCGATAAAAAGATGCAACTTTAGCAGATGCTAATTTTGCAACGGATTTGATACAAGGTTTCCAAGAAAGATCAGAAGTAAGAGTTAATCCTAGAAGATGAAGGGTAGATGACTCATCAAGTACAATAACCGTTCATAAATATAGGAAGATCTAAATTATTGCGATAACAATTGGCTGAAAAAAATTGAGTTTTATCTGAATTAAAGTTCACCAGCCACTGTGAGCCCTATGCTATAGCAGAAATTCTCTCGACAATTCCAGGTCAAGCAGAAATCCCTCTCGACGATTCCAGGTCTAGCCTCACTCTTCTCCATGGTTTTCCTCATATTGTGCTGCTGCAATTGCCAATCGAAACCATTACTTCCAAATCTATCAGCAAAACAATTCTCCAGAAAACAGACGTTTGTTTACTATTGCTAGGAACCATTGTAAAAAGGTTTTGTCTAACGCCGAAGCCTGCTATTCTCATATCATGAAATCTCGTATCTCATCACAAAAGTTAGGCTCTTGTGACTTCTAGAGAATCTTTAATAGTATCAATTATAAGGAAAAGTCTGTAGTTCCACGTCTTTTGTATGGTTCAGACTTTGTCACCTCACCTAAATACAAAGCTGAATTGTTTGCCAAGAACTTTTCATCAATATCATCTCTTGATGTCACTAGTTGCGTTCTACCTGATATAGCCGTCAAACAGGTTGATCCACTGCTCGACATCCGTATCACTCCAGCTTGTATCTAAAGTGATTTTCTGCTTTGACTCTTCTACAGCTTGCGGCCCGGACAACATACCTGTTATAGTCTTGCAGAAGTGTTCTCCGGAGCTGTCGTCTATCCTTTTAAAACTATTTAACAAGTGCTTATCAGAATCTTGTTTCCTAGCCTGCTGGAAAGCAGCATCTGTTATCCCTATTTTTAAAAATTATGGAATGCGATTCGATTCGTCTAACTACCGTCCCATTAGTCTTCTTCCTATCATAATCAAGGTGAATCTTTAATTAACAAACACTTAATCTCTCATCTCGAATCTCATAACCTACTTTCTGACCATCAATATAGATTTCGATCTTCTCGTTCTATGGCTGATTTGGTAACAGTAATAACCGATAGGTTTTATCGCGGATTAGATAAAGGTGGAGAGGTTAAGGCTATCGCTCTTGACATTTCTAAAGCGTTTGATAAAGTTTGGCATGCTGGTTTTCTCCATAAGCTTTCTTCTTACGTCTTTAAGATTATTGAATCCTTCCTTTCTAATCGTAGTATAAAAGTTGTCCTTGATGGACAGCACTCTTCTTCTTATTCTGTAACCTCAGGGGTTTCCTAAGGTTCAATCCTTAGCCCTATAATCTTTTCAATTTACATAAATGATCTTCCAGATGTTCTCACATCTAAGGTGGCATTGTTCGCTGATGATACTACCATTTATTCTTGTCATGATAAAAACTCCCTCTGATTGCTTGCAGGGGGCATCTGAGCTTGAAAAGAATGTCACCTCTGTAACAGCATGGGGCTCACAGTGGCTGGTGAACTTTAATTCAGATAAAACTCAATTTTTTTCAGCCAATCGTTATCGCAATAATTTAGATCTTCCTATATTTATGAACGGTAATGTACTCGATGAGTCTCCTACCCTTCATCTTCTAGGATTAACTCTGATCTTTCTTGGAAACCTTATATCAAATCCGTAGCAAAATTAGCATCTGCTAAAGTTGCTTCTCTTTATCGAGCTTGTCACTTTCTTACTCTGGATTCTATTCTCTATCTCTATAAATCTCAAATGCGGCCTTGTATGGAATACTGTTGCCATATCTGGGGTGGATCTTCTAATGATGCTCTTTCTCTTTTAGACAAGGTGCAAAAACGCATTGTTAACATAGTTGGACCTGCTCTTGCAGCCAACCTTCAATCTCTGTCACATCGTCGTAATGTTGCTTTTCTTTCTCTTCTCTACAAATAATATAATGGGCACTGCTCTAAAAAGCTAGCGTCTCTTGTGCCATCTACTAAAATTCATTCTCGTGTTACTCGTCATTCAATTGTCTCATCCTTTTTCTGTGACTGTTCCTAAGTGCTCCAAAAACTCTTATTCGTCTAGTTTTCCTCAAACATTAGTTCTTTGGAATTCGCTTACTTCATCTTGCTTTCCTAATTCATATAATTTGCAATCTTTTAAGTCGCCTGTCAATCGTTATCTTGCTCTACAATCTTCATCTTTTCTCTTCCAGTATCTTCCAACACTAATTAGTAGTTGCTTGCAGCCTTGTTGGAAGCGAAAATATTAAAAAAAAAAAAAAAAATGAGATCCTTTTCAAGCTCAAATGCCCCCTCCATGTAATCAGAGGGAGTTGGCTTCTTATCATGACTAGAATAAATGGTAGTATCATCAGCGAACAATGCCACCTTAGATGTGAGAATATCTGGAAGATCGTTAATGTAAATTAAAGAGTATATTCTCAAGGATTGACCCTTGAGGAATCCCTGAGGTTACAGAATAAGAAGAAGAGTGCTGTCCATTAAGGACAACTTTTATACTACCATTGGAAAGGAAAGATTCAATAATCTTAGGGATGTTTCCAGATACACCGTATGTTGACAGCTTATTGAGAAGACCAGCATGCCAAACTTTATCAAACACTTTAGAAATGTCAAGAGTGATGGCCTTAACCTGATTCTGATGATAAAGGGTGAATGTGGAGAAACGGAGCACTGGCATATGTTGAGTAGTAAAGACAAATGATTTGGGTTGTCTGGAAAGCGAGTTGTATAGTTGACTATATGAGTTAGGGATTGAGAAAGGCAAAAGTTGTGGGCTTTAATGCTTGCAGAGTCACTGACACTAGAGCAAGGCCATTCTGTGTGAGCCAAGCCATTCTGTGCAGTGTCACTGACACTAGAACCAAGACATTCTTTATCATGTAATAGCTTTTCTTTATCATGTAATAGTTTTTTTTTATAATGTAATAGTTTTTTCTTTATCATGTAATAGTTTTTCTTTATCATCTAATAGTTTTTCTTTATCATGTAATAGTTGTTTTTTATTATGTAATAGTTTTTCTTTATTATGTAATAGTTATAACCAATATTATTTGTTTTTGTTTTATTTGTTTTTCAAAATAAGGGTTAATCATCAATAGTGTGACTTTCCTAAAAATTTTAAAGGAAGTATAAGAATGTAAAGAAAACATAATACAAATAAATAATATAATATATAATATAAAAAATAATATAAAGAAATCATAAGAATGTTTTTTTATTGAACCAAATAAAATTTAGATTTTTGAGGTAAATTAAAATGTAATAAATATAAAAAATGTTGATCACCTTATTATATATTTTAATTCTTTTTATTTTTATCTAAACATTGTGAATTTTTTTTCTAGTTTTATTGAAGCTGTTTAATGCTGTGATGTTTTTGTTCTCCTATCAAAATGACATTTTACATTTCTTAAATTTTTATTTAATAAATAATTTTAGTAAATGACATCATAGAGATATTTGTCTAATTCTTTTATTTTTCAGTTAGAAAATATA